ATATATATATAGAAAATGTAGGTGCTTGTCCTTGTATATCAAGTCGTGACGGCCGTCCTAACCTGCGTCCCAGATTGTATAACTTGACTGGCAGGCCATCACTCATCACACTGTTTAAAGAGATGGTGGTTGAGGAATATTTGCACACAATACCTGCAACGAGCGAGAAAATGGCTAAGAATAAGTAGCAGCCTATGCATATACAACAATGTTACGTGCGGCTCTTTCTCTCCGGTTTGTCATATCTTGCTATGCTGGATTAATTGTGGCAGACTACTTCAAACCTTCAGCGGACGCCACCTACCCGGCATCAAACTTAACCTCAATGGTGACACATGCACGATTGAAGCCATCACTGAGTGTTTGTCACGGCATTATGGCATTTTTTTAACGGCAGATATTGTTTATAGCCTTGTTCTATGGCTACAATAAGAGGCTATTTATGCAAGGCTACAATAGGATAATATTATTTGTTTCAAATGAGATAAGTTACAATGTATGTACAAATGGTACGGCACTCATAGCCGTTGTAGTGGTTCGGGGAAGATCGATGGGAAGAAGTGGTTAGTGAATTTTTGATTGAAGCTTGGGCCAAGTGAGTCGACGATTGAGGATCCAATTCAGGCTGTTGCTAACAAAAACCGACACCATCGAATGTGCTACGTATTCACTTTCTGACCTACTTATTAGCGTACACACTCACCTTTGTTAAACGGATCGGGTCTGCACCGTGTAGTGTCGTGGAATGGGCTGGTGCATAATACAAAATGCCGAGTAGGACCAGGATATCCGTCATAACTCGGTAGAAGAGCGAGATTGGGGGTGAACCGATGCCACACGAGACCATGTACGGATGTAATCGGTATGTGCTGGTTGGCATGGATCGGAAGTGTCATAGTGGGTGCCAACAGGTGAGATGACTTGGTTTGGGCCGAATTTTGGAAGTAGTACTTCAACAGCGTGTTTAGCTGATCGGAGTATGAGGGACATCTGTGGATGTGGCGGAGACGGGTGCGGGTACGGGGGTTGTTCTACATGCTGGAGAAAGTATCCAAGGTGTTCGTGGAGGCCCAGATAACGTGAAAGTCGTGGCGCTCGCTGGAGGAGGTCAGGGCCAATGGAAGGCGGTTTCGGGCCTACCAGGGTGAGTCGGATCAGTTGCTGGATGCAGGCAGAGTAGCTGGTTGTGAATTTGTGGCAACCAGGACAGACAGGGCAGAGATAACCGTCGATGCGGTAGTCGAGCATTGTGAACATGTATGTATTCGTTACAATCATAGCACAGAGCCGGATTGGTGTAGACTCGAAGCAGCGGTTGAAGCTGTCGTGTCTAGCTTTGCCCCGATTTGAGGTTGGCGGTTTGCCCATGACCAGTTGGTAGTAGTATTGGAGAATGGCGCCGGGCCATTGCCGCGATCTCCTTGTTGAGGCTATTTTTAAAATGCATTAATTTCTGAATTATAAAAAAAAGAAGATATATATTTACATACAGTATTTACATAAATTAGACACGGCTCGAACCCACAAAAGTATGCTCTATTTTTTGAAACAGAATTCCAATTAGGATCACTTGAGGGCCACCTGGGGGCCTCCAAATGGGGAAAAAGCGTTCCAGACAGATTTTAAGTTCAATAAAAGAAATAGGGACTGCAGCTACGCTTTCTGTGATAAATACAGTATGTATTTATTTACGTATGTATTTATTTTAAAACAAATACATAAATATGTATTCTATTTTTATTAAAAAAATACGTACTCTTTTATAAAATTACGAAAACAAGAAATCGGTCACGGAAACCGCATCATCAACAAAATGGCCACGTCATTTGTACTGTATGGATACG